CGAACGCAGGCGAGCCCTCAGGCGCGGAACGTGACTTCTGATGGAAGCCGATAGCTGCGTCCTTAAAACCTCATTTGTAACGGGGATGTGCAGCAGCTTTCCACCTTTCAGGCAACCATAACTTCCCGGACTGATGGTAGCTTTTTAAGGTTTTGAAAAGGGCAGGGGGGTTTATGGTTTGGGCAGGTGTTTTGTGTTGGACAGAAATGCCTGTTCAGTGTGTAGAAATCACAAACCCTAAAAAAGTCTATGGGCACAATGAAATGTGAACCAAGGTAAGGATATCTGCTTGCAAAACCTTTATGCGTCCACCAGTTTCATATTCACAACCCACAATTCGCTGCTGGGACCTCGTACCAGCAGGCAGCGAGCGGCAGACAGGCGATGGCTGCCCAAGGGAGAGCGCTGGCGGCGGAGCGGACAGCAGACCCGGCAGAGCACTGCTCCCTTCCCTCCCTGCGTGGGGACGTGGTGTCGGCAGGGCAAAACCCCGCGGCCTGCGACAGTTTCCCAGATGCTGGAATTTCATAGAATCATAGAATCGTTAAGGTTGGAAAAGCCCTCTAAGGTCACCAAGTTCAACCATGAATGCATCACCTCCACGCCTGCTAAACCATGTCTCCAAGTGCCACATCCACACGGGTTTTGACCCCCTCCAGGGATGGGGACTCCCCCACTGCCCTGGGCAGCCTGGTCCAACGCCTGACCACTCTCTCAGGAAAGACATTTTTCCCAATATCCAATCTGAACCTCCCCTGATGCAACTTCAGGCCATTTCCTTTTGTTCTGTTTCTCATTACTTGGGAGAAGAGACCAACCCCCACCTCACTACAGCCTCCTGTCAGGGAGCTGTAGAGAGCGAGAAGGTCTCCCCTCAGGCTCCTCTTCTCCAGACCTCCAGACTGAGCAGCCCCAGCTCCCTCAGCCGCTCCCCATCAGACTTGTTCTCCAGACCCCTCCCCAGCCTCACTGCCCTTCTCTGGACACGCTCCAGCCCCTCCGTGTCCTTCTTGCAGTGAGGGGCCCAGTATCTGCTGGATATCAAAGCGTTTTGCCAGGACTCTGCCCTGTACTTTGTAATACAGAAGCACAGGCTGGAGCCCAAAATTTTGGAAGAGTGAGAAAAACAAGAAATGCAATGCTGCATTTTGCTCTTTTAGGTTAGAAGTCGCCCCCAGCACCAGCAGACGAGGAA